TATCCATTGGTGAGTAGAAAAAGAAAAAGAAGAAACTGTAAATGTGAATTTTTAACATATTTTATCAGCTTAAAAATTTCACGCTACTATACAAGGAGATTTCACTGATGCTTAATAGAAAATCCAAACAAGAATATTATAAAACTGATAAACTAAAAATATTTATTCAAAAGAATTATATAAAGAATTTTCAGATATAATGAAACAGGATAAATATTTAAATAACCTTTAGTCATGTAAAATCCTTACTACACTTTAAGAAATAGTGCAGCAACTTACCTGGAGCTTAATCACTTGGTAAACAGGAAAGAAACAACAACAAAAAAGACAAGCTATGAATCCTAATTACACCTGAGCTAAAGTGCTTATCTCACAAAAGACCCAAATGCATATGCCACATTTTAGTATGCAATATAACTTACAATTAAGGAGCATTATAGATGGGCTTTTCTACTAGACATATACCTAATTTCTGACATTTACTGTCTAAGTTACTAACTCTAGAAACTCTGACATTAAATATTCTATCAGACGCAGACTGCTTTAGACTAACATTTAGAGTAAACAATATACCCAAAGAATTAAAAAGTCAGAAAAACACTTTTATACTCTTCCCTTCCATAAGAAAAAGGAAGCTCCATTTAAGTTTTTCTTAAAACTCATTCAATATCTTCCACATAAAGCCTAGTTAATAATTACAAACCTGTAAAATAAAAAGGTTTTTTGTTGAAATCATATCTAAGAAGCTAAACTCAGCAATAATCAGCTCTTAATTAGCTTCTTAAATACAAAATTAACATGAATACAACTCAGCTCTTGTTTTTTCTTATGATTCAGTAAGTAATTCAATTAGCCAGTGTCCTTTCAGAATTTTTAAAAACATATTTATAGGCTCTTAATTTCTGTGTGAAGAGGAATCAAGCAAGAATAAAAAATATGCCTGGCCAGCGTGCTCAGTTGGTTAAACGTCCTCCCATGTACCGAGGGCTCCACGGTTAGATTTCCAGTCAGGGCACATGCCAGGGGTTTCGAGCATAATCCCCAGTAGGGGACATGCAGGAGGCAGGCAGCCAACTGATGTTTCTCTCTCATGGATGTTTCTCTCTCTCTCTCCCTCTCCCTTTCTCTGAAATCAGTAAAAACGTATTATTTAATTTTTTAAAGAATTTTTAAAAAATATCACAACCTAGAAAATCCACAGCTGAGACAAAGAGCAGTGTGAAATATACTTAAACTAATAATATATGCTAACAGGCATTGTACCAGACATAAACTAGTACTAAATAAATAGCATTTCCTTTAGGAAATTTTGCTCAAACTTTCTCAAATTTTGTTGGGAAAGATTTAAGTACCAAGTCAATATTTTTCAAAATTTGTCTTTCCACATCCTTAACAACAGTATTTTTATAGAATTCAAATGTATTCTATTGCTCTTCTTTATGAGCTGGCATCCATTTGTGCTCCCTAACCTACCTCCGTTTCTCAAAGTGTGCTGGTCTATCTACAGAGTTAAAAGAATCCTAGGTTTCTGCTACCTCATTCATTATATGACAAAAATAACCCTGGCCACTGTAACCTGGTTAGAGCATCATCCCATGCACAGAAGCGTTGCAGGTTCAATTCCTAGTTGGGACATATACCCAGGTTTCGAATTTGATCTCCGCAGAGGCAAGTGTGGGAGGCAACTGATTAGTGTTTCTCTCTGACATAGATGTTACACTCTCTCTCTCTCCCTCTCTCTTCATCTCTCTCTAAAAACAATAGAAACATGTGCTCAGGTGAAGATTAAAAAATAATAATATAGCCCAGCCAATGTTGCTCAGTGGTTCAGCATCAACCTATACACCAAGAGGTTAGATTCCTCTCTCTCAAAAATCAATAAAAACATATTTTTTAAAAAATTTAATGGTGTCGCCGAAACCAGTTTGGCTCAGTGGATAGAGCATCGGCCTGCGGACTGAAGGGTCCCAGGTTCGATTCCGGTCAAGGGCATGTACCTGGGTTGCGGGCACATCCCCAGTAAATGTGCAGGAGGCAGCTGATCGATGTTTCTCTCTCATCGATGTTTCTGACTATCTCTCTCCCTTCCTCTCTGTAAAAAATCAATAAAATACATTTAAAAAAAAATTTAATGGTGTCCTAACCAGTTTGGCTCAGTGGATAGAGCTTTGGCCTGTGGACTGAAAGATCCCAGGTTCGATTCCAGTCAAGGGCATGTACCTTGGTTGCAGGCACATCCCCAGTAGGGGGTGTGCAGGAGGCAGCTGTTCAGTTTCTAACTCTCTATCCCTCTCCCTTCCTCTCTGTAAAAAAATCAATAAAATATATTTTTAAAAATATTAATAGTAATAATAATAATATAAATAAATAAATAAAGCCCAAGACACTTCCAGACTAACCCAACTCCAGTCAGGGACCATCAAAGGAAATTTTTATGCCTTTTACAGATTACTGACCACATTCTTGATAAAAAATACTAGGATAAAAACACATCTTAGCTTTGCTGAGAAATTGAAAATCAGTTTTCTCAGAGGTTAGAGCGTTAGCCCATGCACCAAAGGATTATGGGTTTGATTCCCAGTCAAGGGCATGTACCTGAGTTGCCGGTTCATCCCCCGGTGCTGGTTGGGACACATGCGGGAGGAAAACAACCGATGTCTCTCTCTAACATTTCTCTCTCTCTCTCTCTCTCTCTCTCTCTCTCTCTCTCTCTCTCTCACACACACACACACACACACACACACACACATTCACCCACACATACACAGGCAAAAATACAAAAGGAGGTAGGGAATTGGTTTCTCCACATACTCAATATGAGTTGTGTGATAGATCTAATAAAGACCTAGTCATGTAGCAGGAATGTAGTGTGCAAATCAAAAGCAGCTAGAATCTCCACTTTTCCTTTTGGCATCCCCACTATATGTGGAATAGAGTATTAAATTTATTTTGAGGTGGTGGCTAAAAACTTAGGGAGGCTTAATGCTTGCATATTATTTCATGGTGCTTAAAAAGGATGAGTAATTTTAAAATATCTGAAGTTAAGGGTCATAAAAACTTAAATGAAATGATGCCACTAAAATTTTTACCTAGAAAACAAACAGACCCTGAATTGAATCTTTTTCCCTCCTTCAAAATCAAAGTAGAAGATTTTATAACTTAAATACTTTTCTCTACAATGATCATTACATTGCAATATGGAAAATAAGTTAATTTAACAATACATTTATTTCCATGTACAAAATACTTTGTTTCATAGCATTTCTTATTATCTGCCTTTTCATCCGTTAAAATACTTCTTAAGCATCTGTACTATAAGTGTAAACAATGACACATTAGCCAGGTTCTTTGCCTGTGAGGAATAAAAACACTGTCATAGAAAAATAAACAAGAAATACATGCATGAAAAGAAAGAGAGAACGAATATAATGTGAGTAATACAGAGAAGTAATTTAAAAGTTCCAAGGAAGGTATAGATAAAGCTTCAAAGAAGTAGAACTTGAACTGCGCATTAAAAGATGGTGAAAATTATTTAAGATAAATGACACAGAATAAACTGTACCCGGCTTAAAAAGCAATCAGAAGATCGTTCTGGGTGAAACAGACAATGTTGGGAAGTGGAGTAAGTTTAGAATATTAGACTAGATTTAATTTACAGAGAATACTGAAAGCCAAGTTAAAAAAATCTGGCTAATAATTGTAAATTGAAGACTTCAGAGCAATAAGCTGGCATGAAAAAGGAAGCATTTAAGGAAGAGTCATGTCATAGCATGTAGTTTAAATGATAAATGGAGTGGAAGTGGGGAAACCTATTAAGAGGTGAGTAATAAATCAAGATTACACCAGTAAAAAAAAAGTACAAAAGGAGTAAATTTACTAATTACAGCAGGCAAGTAAGAGAGTCTGACAAACTCAAAAATTTTGTATCTAAGTACCCCTAACAGACAGAAAGAAAAAAAAAATGGGGTTTAAGTCAGCCAGGTCTGGGCCAAATCTGTGCTGTGTAATTTTAAAGAAGTTAAAATTTCCTTAATTTCCTCTGATATAAAAAGACATTTACCATGTTTGGGTGTTCAGAGGATTAAATAAGAAAATGCATATAAGGTATCTATGCACCTGGAACACAACGAACACTAATAACTGATTTTTACCTCTCCCCCTTGGCCCCCTGTTCTTTATCCCTTAACAATTCTGAGAACTGAGCAATATGTAAGCAATCTATCTACAAGTTGTCATTTCAGAGCTGATGAAATTGAGTTTGTGAGATATTAAATGACTTATTCAATGGCATACAACCAGGTACCTTCACTATTAGTACCAGAAACAGATACACTGACCATAAAACACATAAAAAGTAGTGGAAAACTATGAACATAAAATCTTTTCTTTTTTTAAATGGCACCAAGATTTTATTCCATCTCCTAGTAAAAAACACATTTTGTATATAAAAAAGAAATCATTCTGGCATAATTCTACCATAATATCTTCTTTAAAGACATATCTTCTTGCCGAAACCGGTTTGGCTCAGTGGATAGAGCGTCGGCCTGCGGACTGAAGGGTCCCGGGTTCGATTCCGGTCGAGGGCATGTACCTGGGTTGCGGGCACATCCCCAGTTGGAGGTGTGCAGGAGGCACCTGATCGATGTTTCTCTCTCATCGATGTTTCTAACTCTCTCTCTCTCTCTCCCTTCCTCTCTGTAAAAAATCAATAAAAATATATTTAAAAAAAAAAAAAAAAAGACATATCTTCTAATAACACAATAGAGGATCTAATTCATAAATTTAAAAGTATTTAAATGACTGTTTCCTTAACAATATAAAAAGGGTAATACATTTTATAGGAAAACATTTTTAATGTATATACCAAATTCCAGTGTAGGCCAAATTTCTAAATAAGGACCTTTCCATTAGAAAAGGTAAATTAAGAATATAAATTTCTTCTTTTAACTTAGATTGAATAGAGATGAAATTCAAATACAGTCAGCAATTAATTTACTCACCTTCCATGGGCATGGAAATCTAGACGTAAAAACTGGTCCTCATGTGAAACTGCTCTTTTGGCACGCTGGTGTTTTTGATGTAATGAATCCACATCATAAGATAATCCTTCATAATGTCTAATATATTTAGTTAAAGGATTTCCGTACTGACCTATGAAAAATAAACACTTTGAATTAGAATCATCTTGAAGGCTCATTCTAGTTCTATTATGATTCCATGATCATTCAAATATCTACAAATATGTATGAAATAATTTTCTCACTAATCCTAATACTTTACTTTCACATATTTTTTTTAAACTTGTTGTAATGGGAATTTCAACCATACACAAAAATTTGGGTGTTAGCCATAGGTCTGTCTTAGATGTACGTACATTTTTTAAAAACTCATTGTAATGAAAATTTCAACCATACACAAGTTTGGATGTTAGTTATAGGTTTGTCTTAGATGTCTTTTATCAAATTGAGAATGGTTTCTTCTCTTCATATTTTGCTGATAAAAACTATCAGGAACAAATGTTGACTTTTGTCACCTGCTCTGTCAGCATCAATTAAGATGATTATATTGGGTTTTTTCTTTTTAGTTTATTAATATAGCAAATTGCCCTAGCCGGTTTGGCTCACTGGATAGAGCGTCAGCCTGCGGACTCAAGGGTCCCAGGTTCGATTCCGGTCAAGGGCATGTACCTTGGTTGCAGGCACATCCCTAGTAGGGGGTGTGCAGGAGGCAGCTGATCGATGTTTCTAACTCTCTATCCCTCTCCCTTCCTTTCTGTAAAAAATCAATAAAATATATTTTTAAAAAATATATAGCAAATTGACTAATTTTCTAATGCTATTCCAATCTTGCATTACTGAAATAAATCCCACATAGTCATGGGAATTCAATTTGCTATAATTCTGTTTAGAATTTTTATCTATGTTCATGAGAGACAGTGGTTGTAGTTTTCTTGTACTTACTGTCTTTGTCAAGTTTTGATAGCAGAGTGAAAAATGAGTTGGGGCCCCTGCTGGGTGGCTCAGTTGGTTGGAGCATTGTCCCATATACGAAAAAGATTGTGGGTTTGTAAGTATTTGACACTCTCACAGTCAGATAAAGCATTTTGCCACTTCTGATAACTTAGAACAATAACTACTGCTGTGCCATTGAAGCACATGTGATAAAAGCTCAATTATTTGCATGGGTGGAACAAAACTGGGAGAGTTATTAAACAAAGTCATCTTTTCTCTGTCCCACACACAAAGAAATTTCTCAAGCAACATATGTTTACTTTTACTGGCAAAGGACCTGAGTAATGATTTCTGAATCTTTATAACTGAAATAAAACATAATTCACAGGGTTTAACTGGGAAAGTTTAAAATGTTACCCAGGGACATAGAGTTATCAAGTACACTTCATTATTATCTTCTATATAAGATCTATGTTCCTGTGCTAACTATACCTAAATAAATATCAGTGTTTATAATTTCAGTAATGTTAAAAAACACTGAAGATAAGACCATGTATTAAAACTGTATTACATAACTTTTCTCACCCAATACTTAGTAAAATGAAGGGGGAATCATGAAAATAAAGAAACAAAACTATAAAAAGCAGTCTAGTCTTTCACTTAAGAAATATCCTCAAGAATTAAAACTACAGAAGAAAAGGATATAACCAGTGTTTATGGAGCTGAAACAGGCGCTTAAATTCCAATTCTATCCCCAACTCTGTTCAGTGGCATTATGCTGGCAGTTTGAAAACAGCAATGGGAGGAGTATTTACACCACTAAAATCAAAAAAAAGGTTACAAATCAGAAAATGTTTTTCTTGTTTTCAAGAGAGCCAGTGTACTAATACAACACTGGCTGAAACCTGATGGTATAATCTCTCAAACAAGCAGCCAAGGAAGTATACAGTCAACTATAATGATAAAGTGGAAAAGCTTAGCACACTGGACTCCTGATGCTGCCCCTAACCCTCAGAAGTCATACAATTCACTTTTTAAAATTCCCAAAGAGAACAGAGTTCTGGAGTTCTCGAAAATGTTGTATATAATCATGGTCCCATGACTGCAGAAAAGGGTAAAATACAAAATAATCAGTCCCTCAAACTATGACTTGAAGGGAAAAAAATACGCTGGTCTCAGAGACAAGGAAAAAAGGCAGTTACCCACATTATATCACAGCAAAAAGAAAGGACAGAGAAGAGCCACACAACCATGAACATAATACTGTCCAAACATACTAGAACAAAAACAATGAAAGAAACAATAAAAGCAAAACAAAAGAGAACCCAATTGAGAAACAAAAAACATTTGGAAACAATCCTGAACAAACTGGAATCAGTCTTAGATGATATTAAGAAATTCCTACTATCCTAAGAAGGAAGACCTGTAATATATAAAGCTTTGGGTATAGCCCTCAGGGAAAAAGCAGTGTATTCACACTTGGAGTGCGGGTGAATTTCCCGCCAAAATATAAGATGGCTCTGTCTTTTGGTTTTGTTCCATCCACCAAAAGGGTGGATTACAAACAAATATTTGGTAATACGCAGTTACAATCGGCCCGAGTTTACACGTTTCCCGCACTCCACCGCAAATCTATATGAACCGAGTTAAAGACGGCTCCCGCGGAGTACGCGCAATTCACGCGAGCCGACTTAACTCGTTTCCCGCACTCCAAGTGTTCATAGGGGTAAAATTAGCCACAGATTAAGTAAAGGGTGCTCTGGAGCTAACCTGACAAAGTTTAAAGGCAAACATCCAAAGAATTTAATTGATTCCAAGTAGCTTAACTGTACACCAAAACAGTCTAACAGTGTTTAAAGAAGACAAAAACCAAACACACAAAAAAGTAAAAATCAGAATGCTCTACATCTTATCAAAAACTACCATGCATATAAAAAAATCAGAAAAATATAAATATATTTTTCAACCATAACTGAGAAAATAATCAGACATTAGAAACAGAAATTATAGATAATGGAATTAGCATACAAAGAGGTTAAAACAGTTATTATAAATATGTTCCAAGTGTTAAAGAACATACAGGAAAAGAAACATGTTGGGGGGGGGGGGGAGGAGATAAAACTATAAATCTATACATCCAAGAAACTCAACAGATCCTAAGAAGAATATAAAAGAAAACCACACAGAGGCAAATCATAAATTAATGGCTGAAAATCAGCTGTGGGTGGGTTAGAACCAAAGAACTAGAGAAAAAGACACATTACATATGGAGGGACAAAAGTACAAATGACAGCATAACTCTATGTAAGTCAGAAGATAATACAACAACATTTTTAAAGTATAAGAAAAATTCTCAATCTAAGAATCTATATCCAGTAAAAATATCTTTCACAAATGAGGAGAAAAGGGGGGGAAGGGGGAAATGAGCCCTTTTTCAAACAACAAAGCTAACAATTCATTGCTAGTAGATCTGCATTACAAGAAATGTTAAAGGAAGCTTTTTTACGCAGAATGAATGAAACCAGAAGAAAATCTGTGTTCACACAAAGACTATTGCCAGAATTGATAAATATGAGAAAATAAGAGATTTCTCCTCTCATTGTTCAACCTCTTAAAAAGTTAAGTGACTACATTTTTTTAAATTTTTTTTATTTTTTATTTTTTTCAGAGAGGAAGGGAGCGGGAGAGATAGAAACATCAATGAAGAGAGAGAATCATTGATCAGCTGCCTTCTGGACACCCCACAATGGGGATTGAACCTGCAACCCGGATATGTGTCCTGACTGGGAATCAAACTGTGACCTCCTGGTCCTAGGTCAACGCTCAACCACTGACCCACGCCAGCCAGGCTACATTTTAAAAAATGTATTGTGGCATTTATGACATGTATAGAATACAAATGTATGCCCTAACCGGTTTGGCTCAGTGGACAGAGCGTCGGCCTGCAGACTGAAGGGTCCCAGGTTCGATTCCGGTCAAGGGCATGTACCTTGGTTGTGGAAACATCCCCAGTAGAGGGTGTGCAGGAGGCAGCTGATCGATGTTTCTCTCTCATCGATGTTTCTAACTCTCTATCCCTCTCCCTTCCTCTCTGTAAAAAATCAATAAAATATATTTTAAAAAAATGTATGACAACAGAAGCAAAAAGGAGAACAGGAGAAATGAAAGTACACTTATACTATAAATGAAGTGGTTTATTATATTATTTGAAGGCATACAATAAGTTATAGATGTGTATTGTACAGCCCAGGAACAACCTCTAAAAAGTATAACAAACAGGTATATCAGATAAGCCAATTGCAGATAAAATAGAATCATTTTACAAAATAAATTCATCCTAATAAATGTAGGAGAAGAGGCATATAACAAAAGAACTATAAACAGATGGAACTAACAAAAAACAAACAGTATGATGGTCATTTTAAACTCAACCATATCAATAATTATATTAAAAGTAAATAACCTAAATACAATTAAATGTCAGAAAGTAATTTTATTTTTAAAAAAGGAAAGTATGAATACAAACTGTCTAAAGACACTTTAAACACAAAAATAAAGATGAGTTAAAGTAAAAAAAGATGAGAAAAGTTATAAAATCCTAACACTAATCCAAAGAATGCTAGAGTGGCTAGTTATAATATTATCAGACAAAGTAAACTTCAAAGCCCTAACCGGTTTGGCTCAGTGGATAGAGCGTCAGCCTGCGGACTCAAAGGTCCCAGGTTCGATTCCGGTCAAGGGCATGTACCTTGGTTGCGGGCACATCCCCAGTAGGGAGTGTGCAGGAGGCAGCTGATTGATGTTTCTCTCTCATCGATGTTTCTAACTCTCTATCTCTCTCCCTTCCTCTCTGTAAAAAATCAATAAAATATATTAAAAAAAAAGTAAACTTCAAAACAAACCAAAAAAATTATGCGATTTAAAGGACATTTCATAATTCATCAATGGGACATAACAATCCCAAATGTGTATCACATAACACAGAGGGGCCTTGACTTACAAGTTTAATTCGTTCCGAGACCGAGCTCGTTAAGGAGCTCATTAACTCAAATTACTCTGTCAACTCAATGCAAAAAAATCAGCCGAGAGACAGCTGGTATCTCAAAAAACTCGTTAGTCGGGACACTCGTAAGTCAAGGCCCCACTGTAGAACTTCAAAGTACATGAATAAAAAGCTGACAGAACTAAAGGACAAATCTT